CATCCATCCATCCATCCATCCATCCATCCATCCATCCATCCATCACAACAACATGGATTCCTAATAGTATATGTAATGTTTTAAAATAAAAATGATGTGGTTTGATATGTTTACCGTGTTCCACTGTGGTTTAAATATAAGTTTATGAAACTGATAATAAATCCTTGAATTCTGTATTTGTTTGTACGACATCCAAACGTAGCCGAGCTGGACATTTACGAAGAAATCCCAGCCGGAGCTCATCTGCAGCAGGGGAAGCAGCAGCAGAACAGCTTCTTGCACGGGTTGCTCTTCTTGTATTTCACGGCCTGCTTCATCTGAACTGTTGCTTTTTCAACGTAGTCCTGCGTGGCGGCAACGTTCGCCTCGATGCTGTTCAGCATGCTGCCCTGCTCCTCCACCAGCAGAGCCATCTGCAGGAAGAGGTCCCGGATGTCTCTGATGCGACCCTCCAGCTCCAGCAGCTCCTTGTGCCGGTTCTCAATCTCATTCAGAGCGGAGCGGGCCGTCCTCCCCTCCAGCAGGAGGTTATCTGAGAACACGTTCCACTTCCCAGTCTCGATCATCTCGTCTATCTGCTCCCTGCTCACCTCCTTGCCCATGATCTCCGCCTGCCTCTGGATGCGAGTCTTACAGTTCTCCCTTTGGATCATTTCCACCTCGTTGTACTCGGACATGGCCTGGTGGAAGGCCCCGGTCAGAGACACGTACTGTGAGCGCACCATGCGAGCCAGCGCCGACATGGAGCCATGCTTCTCCTCGATCACCTTGCTCAGCCTCCCCAGCTTCTCCAGACGAGCGTAAATGGCCTCCCCTCTTGCTTTGATGTCCCTCCCGAGTACGTTGGAGTCCCGCTTGATGCTGCTGATTCTCCTGATGGACGTGAGGAAGCGGGTGTTCTGCTTCCCGAGACGTTTCACGTCTAACTTGAGCAGCTGCATCTCCTTCCTCATGGCTTGGGCCTCCTTGTAGATGCTGTCCATCACATCTTCACCGTGAAACACGACGGCCTGTTGCTCCAGGTGCTCCTCATCCTCAGAGCTGAGGTTCTGGGCCTCATGAGGCCCGTGCTGCTCCCCGTCCTCTGCAGGCGCACAGACAATGGTCTGCAGGTCCAACAGCCGGTCCTTCATTTCACCTGCGGGTGGAGTCAGGAACTATTAGCAGCTTTTTTAAAGGAATAGTAAAACATTTAAGATCTTGTTGTTTTCAGTCTACTTGTAAATTAGATGAAAAGACAATAAAAAAAATAAGCCTGAGATTTTTGACATACAATTAGTAGATTTCTTTAGTCATTTAAAAGTAAAAATGCTGGGGTGGGTTCACAATTCAGACTTTTATGAAACTTGCTACTCTTTAATCATCATATAAAAAACGCCAAATTCAAGATGGCTGCTCACGGCCAACTGACCGTAGAAAATACAAAATGACTAAAATGAATTTTACAAATATTGTGCTAAACTTTGGCGTGGAAGTTGCTGAAGTACTGGGCTTAACTTTTTCCTTTTTGATAAATCCTATACTTGGGGTTGACTTGGGTTTCCTGAGCTATCCCTTAGTTATGGCTTAGACTGCTGGAGGACAAACTGACCACACTTCCTCTGTCTGCTGCTGTCTTTACTCGCTCTACCTGTTTGTATTTGTAATTATTTCTATCTTAACATGTTCTTAGTCTTTCCTCCTATAGAAAGTACACCTGGGCCTGTCATTCTGTGTCTGTTTCTACTTCCTGTCCTCTCAAACCAGCCGGTCGAAGCAGACAGATGCTCGTCCTGAGCCTGGTTCTGCTCGAGGTTTCTTCCTGTTAAAAGGAGTTTTTTCTTTCCACTGTCTCCTTTGTGCTCGCTCAGGATGGGAGACTGTGACAGAGTGACGATTCAACACAATCTGCTGCTTCCTTACGTAGAGAACTTTTACTAATTGTCTTTTCTAAAGTCTGTGATGTTTCTGTTCAGTGCCCTGAGACAACTTCTGTTGGGACTTGATGCTAAATAAACTGAACTGAAATAAATTCATAATCCCGTCGCATCAAATTCACATTAACCAACACCAAAAATCACTCGAACAGTCAATTTTACAAATGTTGAACTGAAACTGAAGTGGTAGTAACAGAGTTGTCCACAACAGGTGCTCTGAGGTCTGATGCTCTGACCTGTGATGCTGCACGACATCATGCACACGGTGCTTTCAAGGTTTGGTAAAAACATCTACAACTGTCGTTTCTCAACCTGAGATCATTTCAGTTCAACCTTTATTTCTACAGGTCACTCTCATTGATGGGCTCAACGGAATTAACCTGTGTAAATAAAGGTTGAATGAATGAACTGAGCCTCAAGGACTCGTTTATAAGAGAGACCTGCTTTAAACTAAGAGTCAATTAAACATTGCACTGTTTGTGAGAAATCTCTGCAAAGAAAAATAAACTCTGCTGTGGTCAATACTATTTATTAATCTTTATTGAACCAGGCAAATCCCACTGAGATCACAGATCCTACAGATGCCTAAAGCAGCCTAACATGCATGTTTTTGATCCAACTAGGCCTTCACCGTACGTGAGTGACTGTTTAAACAATGAACAAGGAAGAAGGGCGTTTCTTTGTTTGATTTATATTTTTGTAACACACTTTATAACTTTATGGTGAAAACTTTTAGTTGCATTTTCTTAGACTTTGTGTTAAATATGTGGATAACCAGTCGATTATAAAAACTGACAAAGTTTCTGCAGAAGATAACACACAGTTCTCCTAAACAACTTGAAGTGAACATCTGGAAGCAGCCATGTTTAAAAGTGTTACTTTGTGGCTAAGAAGAAACTGTTTTTTTTGTTGTTGCTAAATAGAAACTACAAAGGTCAGATAACAAAAAAAGCAAAACTGGAAATTATGTTGAGAAATCTTGAATTGTTTTTTCTTGCACTTTTTGGATTCATCTGCCTCACAGGTGTGGCACATCAGGATGCTGATTAGACCGCATGATTATTGCACAGGTGAGTCTTAGGATGACCACAATAAAAGGCCACTCTAAATCAATCTATCTGTCCGTCTGTCTGTCTGTCTGTCTGTCTGTCTGTCTATCTATCTATCTATCTATCTATCTATCTATCTATCTATCTATCTATCTATCTATCTATCTATCTATCTATCTATCTATCTAATCTATCTAATCTATCTATCTATCTATCTAATCTAATCTATCTGGCAGGAGGTGTGCACTTGTGCATATAACTCAACAATAACATAATAGTGAAGTTGTAGAAAATAGGCCTAAAGCTATATTTTTCAACACAATAAAAACAGTTGGGCTATTTTCAGTAAGTTCTATTTTTAGAAAAGTTGCATTTCAGTTTTAGCTGCTCTTCTTGAGGTTTTGCTAGAAAGGAAACTTCCTCAGATGTGACTCTAAGATCCAGATGTTCATTTCTCCACTCATTTAGACACATCTGTTACTCACTTTCAGCGTGATGCAGCCAGAATGACGTTTTAAACTATTTTATAAGATGAAGCAGCCAGAAACATTTAATTTTTCATGTAAGAGGAGTGAACATACCTTGCTGTGTGAGCCTCCGGTTTTACACAAACTCTGAAGAAGAAGAAGAGAGCAAAGAAAAACGCATTTCCTCTTTCTCTCGGTTCCAAACACACATTTCGACATGTGTCGTGAGTGTGAGGTTCAGCCCAGTCTCAGAGCACCAGTGGAAACTGAGGCGGAAGATCACGCCTCTGCCCCGCACATCTCCACCGCGTCACAGGTTCGAGTCCAGGAAGAACCACCCAGGAAAACCTCGCGTGTTTATTTTCAAGATAATGCACAAGCAATATTTTTATTTGTATTTTTTTTCCCTGAACTATTTCGCAACTGCACGGTGAAGTCAAGTCTGAGTTAAATGTGTTGTATGGAAGACTGAAAGTGCCACAATTTAATAAAGAAGTGCTTCATTACAAAATATTGACAGCAATACCGAGTACTTACACACACCTGGTATTTACCTTGTGCTTACTGGGTATTTACAAAGTATGTAGCAGTGCATATTACACAAGTATCTTTAAATGTTTTAATAACTGATTTAAACCTGTGGTGCCTGGTGGTAATATGTGGGTGGGCTAGCAACCATACAACACCTCATCTGAAACATGATAAACAAACAAACAGGTGCAGAGAGGATGTTGTTACATGATTTTGCACTGACAGAAGTTTTGAGCTGAACAGAATGAGTCCTAAAGAAACCAAGGGGGCGTGGCCTAACAACGGTCACCGTTTTAACCTCATAAATAAGAAACTCTTATCCGGCCCTGGTAGGGCTGTAAAAAAAATTACTTTTTAGATGAGTTGTAACTGTTGTGCTGTGTTAGTACCAACACTTTTCTGTACTTTTTCAAAATATGAAACAATTTGTTTAAACATTGAGAGGGATAAGCCTCGCTTGCCTATACCAGGCTTCCCTAATTTATATGGCAACCAAATTATTTCATTTGGAAAATACACAAAAAAATAGGTAAATTAAATGTGCTTAGAATAAATTAATTTAGCGCTCTTTTAATTGAAACAACCCCCCCCACATTGTCCCCTCTTCTGAAAAACACACCCCCACCACACACCCACCCCCCCCCA